CACTACGCGAATATTCAGCAATCTAGAAGATAAAGATAAATAAGAATATTGTAATTCAATGAAAAATGCAAAAAGGTATTTGATTAAAAATATCAACTTACTATTAAATTTGGAAATAATGCGCTGAGAATGGTGCCATCAATCAAATCTGCTTCCACATAATAAACACAATCTGATGAATAATCATGAAAATCATAATCACGAGGAGGATCATCATCATCATCATCATCATAATCATAATCAGAATCTTCTGCCTTATAATGAACATCATCTGATTCTGATTCATCAGGATCATCTCCGCTATAATGAACAGAATCCGCTTTCTGGTGAGGATCCTCTGAAAATATAAATTCAAGCTATTAATAAATTCACCATATTGAGAATAAGCATGAAAAATTGAAACTTACCTAACAAATATTTAACTTTTTTATTTCGCGTAGCAATTAAATAACGCCATTTAGTACACACTGCAATGAAATTTTTAAATAATTACTGAATTTGTTATTGATTTGCTCAATCATTATCCAATTGCCTTCAGAACCAAGACAACATCACTTAAAATCTGTAAAAATATTCAAATACTGCGCCACACCAGTCAGATGTTTCATTCGGATGCAACTTTTGATACTCAGAGCGCGAAACTTATTGACTTATGCGAGACTCTCTCTCGTCAATACAGCAAAATTTGCTGAGCAAATCATCGACATAATTGAGGTCTATTTACAATTTGACGAGAGTCAATTTTTCGTGACATGCCACTTTCAATGGAAATACAAAAAAACAATATTCATAATTACCTTTATAGCAATTTATTAAATCACCCAGATAATTCACATAATCAAAAATGGAGAGCAAACAATCATCAGGAAGTTCGTTGATCAACATTGTTAAATAAATTAATAGTTTATAACTACAAGTTCACTTGAGTCAGGTGATTTTTAAGAAAAGAGTAAAGACAAAGAGTTAAGTGTTGCAACAATATTTCATTTTTGATAAACGCCATCTACTATACGTAAGATGCTTAATTAGTCCATTGGTAGTATAGTAGACGGCGCTTATCAAAAATTAACTTATGCATGAAACTGGTGTATTAAATAAAATTACAACAATCATTAGCTGTATATTGTGATGAGATGTCTTTATGAGGGTGTTAATATTATACCAGTCTAGTGAGCATTTGGATTAAATTCAAAAATTTAACTTCATTCCATTCCAAGTGATTCTGTATGAGTTTTCTGTTGTCGAGAGATTGTCTGGACAATGTCCATGTCTGTCTTGTTCACGTTGTGTTATATGAGCTCAGGTTGATCGGGAGAAAATCAAAGAGTTAGTTTTGGTTAATTTTAATAAACTCACATTAGTTACGATTGTCAGGAAAAGTTTCTCAGCGAAAAAACTTCAGTCATGGTCAGTCATTTTTTACGAAAAAATGATGGTAATGAATTCTCAAGCCAAATTATGTAATCGTTCTGATCAAGCTCGGATCGGTACATGCAGGATCGGTCCGGATCGATCTTTAATCGGATCGTTCTCGATCAGCGAAAAAACTTCAGTCATGGTCAGTCATTTTTACGTCAAAGTGGTGGTAATGAATTCTAAAGCCAAATTATGACCATGGTTTGACATCAGTAACAAAAAATACTAGAGTTTTCTAGGAACTCAGATTCTTGAGAGAATCATGTTCAGGGTGGTTGGGACACAGTATTCAAAAGTATTGTGGAGGGAAGGAAATTATTTTTTTTAGTTAATTGTTGGATGATTTACACTCTATTTCAAAAGTTTGGTCCGTAAATTCATTTTGAATTGTCTTGCTAAAAATTTAAGTTAATTCAAATATTTTTACAAAATAAATAGATTAAATTGAGGTGATTTATATGCTGAATCTTATTTTTTAAAAAATAAATTCTTTACAATTAAAATTGATTTTGAAAATTTTAACATTGAAATGGATTTTTCAGAAGTTTGGTCCATGTTTGATTATCTAATTAATGGGTCTAAGAAATTGCTTGAAATTTTCATAAAATCTTCCTCATTTGTATACAGTTGATTCATGAAAAGTTGAGTCTTTTAGCACGATTCTGAAAAAAGTTATTCAAATTATTGTTTCATAATAGGTTTCTATGGAAATTTCAGTTTTTTCGTTTTCAATCGGTAATTGCAATTGAATTAGTGATTTGATTGCGTTCAAACTTATACCCATCATAGCTCAGACTATTGAAAAATGCTCTCAAAAAACCTACCATGAAAAATAAATTCTTGGTGCACCAATAACTTGTGAATCGTTTCAATTCGATTTCAATGCAATAATCTATGGAGATACATTGTTGATTAGCAAATTTTTGATTTTCGCACCAAGAATTATTTTTAGATGTTTGATTTTTACAAGCATTTTTTCAAAATGAATTTACGGACCAACTTTTGAAATAGAGTGTATAAGTGTCAAATCTTTTAGTTAAGAGTTACGACCTGATGAGCTTTTAGGGACATAAGAACTAGCATCATTCGTGTAATTAAAAGATTTCTCTGATTTCTTGAAGGTTTTAGATGAAATCACTTTCAAAGTTCAGTAGCAGAACCAGATTTTATTTTATTTTGCAGTTTTACATATTGTCGATGGTTTTCATCAAGAATTATTTTCGAGTCTGTGAATATGGATTGAATTAATTGAAAAAAATTACGATCAGTCTAGATCGAGGGTTCCATTCGTACATATTGTAAACAAATATATTACTACCATGTAAGCATGTGGTTCAATAATCAGCAGGAATTAAGAAATGTGGAAGATCACCAAAATCTTTAAAAAAGCAATGTTTCATGAAATCAAAGCCTTGAGCAATTTTTTCTCTTTTAGTGGACAACTGAGGCTAATATTCAATTGTTGAATTAGTGGACAATTTTTATATTTTATTGATTGATAATAAATTTCAACAGATTGTCTTGATTGGACACTGGTTTAGAAGCCTTGCTAGTTACGCCTTGTGTCCGTATAACTATACTGTTACCGTTTAAGCTGTAAAATTCGTGATTCCTACTTGTAGTTCACCAAGATGTAACAAAAAAGCAAAAAACTCTGTGGAAAACTAAATCTAAAATTCAAAATGCAAATTATCTCAACCTACTGCTGACATCTGTCAACTAAAATTAACTATCCATTCAAACTAAAATCAGACGATTCCCGAAAAAGCTGTAGTTTGGCCATAAGTTTATTTTACAA